GAAGGCATGAGTACCAATCCAGAAATTAATGACACTGCTTTGGTTTTTTTTGCTTTTTTTTTTTTTTTTAAGATTTTATTTAGTCATCTGACAGAGATCACAAGTAGGCAGAGAGGCAGGCAGAGAGAGAGGGGGAGACAGGCTCCCCGCGGAGCAGAGAGCCTGATGGGGGGCTCAATCCCAGGACCCTGAGATCATGACCTGAGCCGAAGGCAGAGGCTTAACCCACTGAGCCACACCCCAGGCGCCCTACACTGTTTTGTTTTCATCATATTTGTATTCTTCAGTTTACACACAGTGTAAATTGGTGTACTTATTTGTGAATATTGAAATAAGCATAGTTCATACAACCACCATCACAGTTGGGATACAGAAGAGTTTAATCTCTTCAAAACATTATCTTGTACAGTTCTTAGCCTTCCTCCTACTTCTAAACCTTGGAACATTGATCTTTTTCCTATCATTATAGTTTCAGCTTTCCCAGAACGTCATATAAATGGAATCGTAGAATATGTAACCTTCGGAGACTTGCTTCTTTCACTGGGTGTGCTGTGTGGGAGATATGGCCGTGTATCAGTAGTGTGTTTGTTTTTATTGCTCTGTAGTATTCCAGTGTATGGAATGCCCATTTTGAATAAAAATTTTATAAGGCGTGAGGTATAGGTCTAGCGTTCACTTTTCTTTTCCTTTTTTCTTCTTTTTTGCATACGGAGATCCAGTTGTGAAAATCCCCTTTGTTGAACGGGTGTTGAACTGAATCCTCTCTGCACTGAATTGCTTTTGCACCTCCGTCACAAAGTGTTTGACCGTATTTATTTATATGAATCTGTTTCTGAATTGCCTCCTGTGCCACTGATCTGTGTATCTATTTTTTTGCCAATACCACACCGTTCCTTTCTATAGTAAGACAGCGGTGTGCAGCTTCCAACTTTGACCTCACTGTTCTGGCCTCCCCTTTCGCTCAACCTGTCTGTCCTTTTGTTTTCTATCAATATGGACTCACAGATTGTTATTTTATTGCTCTCATTTAAGTTTTTGCTTAAGTTCTAGATTTGGCCTGGGGGAGACAGAGCCCATCATTCTTTGAACATTCTCTTACCTTTTGGCATAACAGGATATTCTAGGGTCATCTTATCCATTTCCTGTCCTAGTCCTGGAATCACCCATTTCTTCAAGGAGACCTGGTTTCTTTTATAAGTGAATGGTATTTAGAATCGAGATATGGGAGCTAGATGTGCTCATTATTGCTGGATTGCAGCAAGGCCCTCTCAGTGGACATCGAAAACTAGGAATTCATACTGTTAACCGTCAAGTCCTGTCCAGCACTACAGAATTCTTTCTAACCCCCTCCACCTTTATTTGTAACTCTTTCACTTGGCATAATTACTTTGAGATTCATTTGTATGTTTAAGTAGTTCCCTTTTTTTTTTTTTTAAGAGAAGTTGCCAAGAAAAATTATTCCATTGAGTGGTATGTGACAATTTTAGGAAATTGCCACACTTTCCCCCCATTAGATGTTCTAGTTCCTCCACATTATTGCCAAACCTTGATATTGTCTGTCTTCTTAGTTTTATACTCTTAATAGGTTTGTTTTGAAATCGTGAATGGTTTTAATTTGCCTTTCTCTAGTGACTAATTTGCATATCTTTCTGTTCCATGTGCTTATTTGCTGTCCTTATGCCTTCTTTGGAGGCATATTGGAGGTTTATTCAAATTTTTTTGCCCATTTTTGTTCTTTAACAATATCATTTCTTTTTTTTTTTTTAAGATTTTATTTATTTCTTTGACAGAGACAGATCACAAGTAGGCAGAGAGGAAAGCAGAGAGAGGAGGAAGCAGGCTCCCTGCTGAGCAGAGAGCCCAGATGTGGGACTCGATCCCAGGACCCTGAGATCATGACCTGAGCTGAAGGCAGAGGCTTTAACCCACTGAGTCACCCAGGCGCCCCCCAACAATATCATTTCTTAATGTTGAATTTTGAGGGCTCTTTGTAGATTCTGGATACAAGGCTTTATCAGATACATGATTTGTAATTTCTCAGTCTTTGGCTTGACTTTTCGTTTCCTTAAAGGGGTCACTTGAGCAGAAGTTGTTACTTTGGATGAAGCCCAAATTTATGGATTTTTTTTTTTCTTTTATGGATTGTGCTCTTGGTGTTTTTTCTTTTTTCTTTTTTTTTAAAGATTTTATTTATTTGTTTGACAGAGATCACAAGCAGGCAGAGAAGCAGGTAGAGAGAGAGAGGGAAACAGGCTCCCTGCTGAGCAGAGAGCCCGATGCGGGGCTTGATCCCAGGACCCTGAGATCGTGACCTGAGCTGAAGGCAGAGGCTTTAACCCAGTGAGCCACCCAGGCGCCCCTGCTTTTGGTGTTTTATCTAAGATCTTTTCTAACCTAAGTTCAGAAGGTTGTGTGTTTTTTTTTGTTTTTTTTTTTTAAGGTTTATTTATTTATATTAGAGAGCACATGGGTGGGAGCAAGGGGAGGGGCAGAGGAGAGAGAATCTCAAGCAGATGAGATTCTCACCTGAGTCCTGAGCCCCACACAGGGCTTGATTTCACAACCCTGAGATTGTGACCTGAATAGAAATCGAGAATTGGATGCTTAACCAACTGAGCTACCCACGCACCCCTAAAAGGTTTTTCATGTTTTCCTCTACCAGTTTTATAACTTCTGGTTTACATTTAGTTGTATCATCAGTTTTGAGTTAATTTTTGTATATTTGTATATGTAAAGTATGGACCCATGTTCATTTTTTGAAATATGAGTATCCATTGTTCTAGCATCATTTGTTAAAAAGATTATTTTTCTCCATTGGATTTTGCCTTTGTGCCTCTGTGGATAATCGTTGACCCTGTATGTATGGTTCTGTTTCCGGACTCCGTTACATTAGTTCACTTCCCTGTGCGCGGCGGCAGCACTGTCCGCATTACTGAATCTTAACTAGCTTTGATCCAGTGGGCCTTCCAGCTGGCTCCGCTCAAAGCTGCTCTGGCTCTTTAGGTACCTTGTGCTCCTGTATGACTTTTAGGATGTTTTTCAGTTCCTACAAAAACAAAAACATTGACTGGGATTGCAGTAAATCTGTAGAGCAATTTGGAGAGAATGTTAATATTGTGTCTTTTGATCCATTTACTTGGTATGTCTTCCCATTTGCTTAGATCTTTTTTAGTTTCTCTCAGAAATGTTTTATAGTTTTTAGTGTATATGTTGTATGAGATCCCTAAGGGGTGTAGGGATGAAAGGGATATTCTTCAGTTTTGATTTTTTATTAACTTTTATTAACTTTATTAACTCCTGAAGAGGTATTCTTCAGTTTTGATTTTTATTAACTATTTTGATTTTTACTTTTAAAAAAATTATTGATCTTGTTTCCTGCAACGTTGCTAAACTCATTTGTTCTAGTAACTATTTGTAGATTCTCTACACAGATGATCATGTCTGTGAATAAGACATTTTTAATTCTGCCTTTTCAATGTGGATTCCCTATTCCCACCTTGCCTGATTCATAGTGTCCACACTTTGGGTCTTTCCCTTCCACCATCCCATTGTTTTTCCTTAATGTAACTGCCCCCTAGATTTTGCCAAAAATCCCTTTCTTTATAAAACCTAGAACACACTGATAGATAAAATTAAAGGTTAGAGATCTGGTAGTTTCATAGAAAACAGGAATTCTTAAACCAGGCTTTGTGAGCCTTTAGTGGGCGTGCCCTTTCTCTCTCTCTTTCTCTCTCTCTCAAATAAAATCTTAAAAAAAGGAAAAAGAAAAAACAAAGGTAAGAGTACTTTTGGAATGAATGAGTTTGGGTCTAATCTGTGTAAAAGGCTTGTTAGTGAGCCTCTTAATGTCTCCACTCCTCTGTACCTTTTGAAGATAACATTTAAATGTCTCTGTTGTAGTATATGACTGTTGCTTGTGGTTAATCCAGTTATATATGTGAGCTCAACACCTGCCACTTTTAAACCTTTGGTCTGCTATTTTGTATCATAGATTTTCAAGAATTTGAGTATATTTAAGAAGTTTGCTTTCAGGGGCACCTGGGTGGCTCAGTTTGTTGAGATTCTAACTCTTGGTTTTGTTTCAAGTCATGATCCCAGAGTCCTGGGATCGAGCCTCATGTTGGGCTCTCTGCCAGTGAGGAGTCTGCTTCTCCCTCTACCTGCTGCTCCTGCTTGTGCTCTCTCTCACTCTCATAAGTAAAATCTTTTGAAATATAAAGGAAGCTTGCTTTAAGATTACGTATTTTTAATGGTTATTCTTTAATAAAGTTGTCAAAAGAATCTTTGGATTCCTGTTGTCAAGGCCCTAAAAAGTTACTCTGGCAGAGAAGGATAAAGGTACTGAAACCACACATGAAGTATACATTTTTAATTTTTATTTTTTTAAAGATTTTATTTATGTATATGGCAGAGAGATCACAAGTAGGCAGAGAGGCAGGCGGGGGTGGGGAGGTGGGCGGGGGGAAACCGGGCTCCCTGCTAAGCAGAGAGCCTGATGCTGGGCTCAATCCCAGGACCCTGAGATCATGACCTGAGCCAAAGGCAGAGGCTTAACCCACTGAGCCACCCAGGCACCCCAAAGTATACCTATTTTCAAAGAATCTTTGAGGGTTCCCTTTTGGATGTCCCATGTCTGCAAGCAGAGTGTCTTTGTATAATGCCTTAAACCCCTGGCCAGGGTAGCTGTTGTGCCTGAGTTCAGTCCTGACTACCACCTTCTACTAAATGACCTGTTTCATTTCTTCACCTCACAAATGAGAATAATAAACCTGTTTGTTAATAGTAGAGGGCTTAGAAGTAAATACATGTTGGCAGACTTGAGGGCCACGTTCACCCCGTGATGGTAAGTGCAGGTTCCATTGGGGCAGATTTCAGTAAAAGGTGGGTGGTGTCACCATGTTCCAAGGATTAAAAGACCAGAATGGTGCTGTTAATCATTGCTTATTATGTCTGTTAAATTATAACAAGAATTTTTTTTTTTTTTTTTAATTTCTCCCAAGCCAAACTAGCAAGACGCAGTCAAGAACGAGACAATCTTGGCATGCTGGTCTGGTCACCTAATCAGAATCTATCAGAAGCAAAACGTAAGTTTTAAAGGACTTTTATTTTCCCTCTTTCTTCTTATTTAATGCAAAGTTTTAAAGTCAGTTTTATAGCTAAAAGTCCCTATACACATTATAGTTTTCTTACATTTAAGTTTGAAAATGTGCATTTCTTTACTGTGGCTTGTCATAAGGACTTAAAGATTCTTAACCAGTGGTTTCATATATTCTTTTTTTTTTTTTCCAAAATGCTGTATAGGCTAATCCTGGAGTAACTAGGAGGAAAAGCTTAGAGTGGAAAGAAAATTATAATGCAGTGTAAAGCTCCTTCAGTTGGGAATTTACAGATTTATAAATTTCTAATTGAAGGGTTACAAAGGGCAAAATGCATGTTATTGGAAACAGGCTTTATTTATACTGTAAGACTTCAGCCTAGCTGGGAGGAGAACTATTGAACTGATTCTGTTTTATGAATTTAAAATTATATTAGGATGAAAACCCGAGCTACTTTGAATATTATTTTGGGGGGATAAGGGTCCGATAGCTATTAGTAATATTAATTGTATATTCAGAGTTTAATTTTTCACCTTTTCTCTCCCCTCTGTTCAAATGATATCAGCAAAATTAATTTTGTATCAGATATATTACCATAAGTCCTTGTCATTTTCAAAGTTTTAATTTGCTTTGTAACTTAGAGAAGAAAAGCTAAATTCCCTTTCGGAAAATTTTTCAGTGGAGGTTCATGGATGGAATTTATCGGGATTTGTGAACTTAGAAATCTCATGCAAGGTTTTTTTGGTGTATGTTTGTTTTTCTGGATTTTCAAACGGGTCTTTGACAAAAATAGGTTAAGAATCAATGCTCTAAAATAAGGGTCAGGCTTGGAAAGCCACCAGTGGTAAATGTTATCAGGAAACTGTTCGATTGTGAGTAAAGGCTCAGATTTTTAGGCTTTGATCAGGATTTCCCAAAGTGTGTTTTCTAGTATTAAAATAGATGTTGACCAGTTTCCACTGTCAAATAAGTATGAGAGAGGATATGTATTAAATATTCTCCTCTTGTATATTCAGTATCCGTGTTAGCACATTTAAGGTGCAAAGAGCTCATATGGTAAAGAAACAGGTTTAATTTTGACCAGCAACAATTCTTTTTTGTACAGTCCCCTCCATGGAATACAAGAAATTCATCTACTCTTAATAATGCTGAATTTAGCAGTAATAAAATAATCTCAGTCTAATCTGATTTTAAGAGTATCTTAATTTTGCCTCTATCAGGCTGCTGCTTAATGAGTTTATAATGAAGAACAAAATAGCAAAAGGAAGTGTATTGGCATTTCTGATGTCTTTACTGTGCTGGGAAAGACCTTTTAAGTACTTCCTGTGTGTTTATTTCCCCTTTGAGTACTTGCATTGACTTATAAAAGCAATCTATTCCTTTTTTGAACATATTCTCTTTGACAGAAAGCTGAAAATCTGCCTCCCTGTAATTTTTTTTTTTTAAGGATTTTATTTATTTATTTGACAGAGATCACAAGTAGGCAGAGAGAGAGAGAGAGGAGGAGGAGGCAGGCTTCCCGCTGAGCGGAGAGCCCGATGTGGGGCTTGATCCCAGGACCCTGGGATCATGACCTGAGTTGAAGGCAGAGGCTTTAACCCACTGAGCCACCCAGGCGCCCCTCCCTGTAATTTTTAAACCTTTACTTTTCTGAACTCTGCTAAATAGGTCTGCTTTCTGACGAGTCTTTCAGATGTTCCGTCATCCCACCCCCTTTACCATCGCAGTCCAGGTTAAACCAGCCTGGTTGTTTGAGGTGTTTTTCAGATGGTTTGGTTTTCAGGTCTCTCTTTTGCACTCCTGGTATGCTCCAGTTGGTCATAGTCCCCATATGAAATGATGGTGCCCAGAACCAAACATCCAGAACCATGAGCATTCAACTAAGCTTAGTGGCAAGCACTGCGCTAAAATGTATTCACTCTTCACAGCAACCGAAGAGGAAATTCTGTCCCCATTTTGCAGATGGCATTCCACAGTCAAAGAGGTTTATGAGACGGACACAGATAGTGGTGAAGCCAGTAGCAGTATCCAGGTGTGCTGACTTCCCCCCGGTTCACGCTGAGTGCCTCTCTCTGGGAGAACTCGTTAACTCGAGGTGTTCTGAGCCTCTGCTGCGCTCCTTCTGTTTCCACAGTTCACAGCCGATCAGTGCCCTTTGTGGTTGTGTTACCTGTTGACATCTGTGGAGTTGGAATGTCATTTTGATATTCTCTTATTTTTCCTAGACCTGGAAGAAAAGAGCAGAATGTGAAAAGTTAGTTGATTTTTAAGCAATGGTATTGCCTAAAATAAATTCGCAGTTTTAATGGAAGCCTTTAAAACTTGAAACTTTTAAAGCCAATATGCAAGTAACATTTCTATATTGTTGAGACTTTAGAAGATACAGGAAATAATAAAGAAGGATCAGCTCACACATTATTCCATTACCCAGAGATAACTGTTGTAAACGTTTTGGGATTTTTCCCAGTCCTCTTTTTTCCCCTCTTTTGTGCATATTTATATAATTGAGATGATGTGGGTGTGTATATGTCTGTGTATTGTTTTCCTGATACTGACCTAAGCATTTCCCACATCGGTTGTTAAATTACCATGTCCATCATATGGGTAGATGGATGTATTTATTAATCTCCTTCTCTTGAAAATTTACATTGTTTCTGAGTTGTTGGCTGTTATAAAAGAAAGCTGTAGTGAAATGAAACAAGATGAAACCAGAGAGAGACAAGCCATAAGTGACTCTTAATCTCAGGAAACAAACTGAGGGTTGCTGGAGGTGGAGACTGGGTGGGAAGGATAGGGTAGCTGGGGGATGGACACTGGGGAGGGTATGTGCTATGGTGAGTACTGTGAATTGTGTTAAGACTGATGATTCACAGACCTGTACCCCTGGAGTAAATAAATACATTATATCTTAACAATAACAACAAAAAAATTTTAAAAAGAAAGCTATAGTGAAAAACTGACTCTTAGAGCTTTTCCTCTTTTATTTTTTGTTTTTGTTGTGTTTTTAGTCTTTTCTTAGGATGCGCTCTAGGAATAGGGTGTGGGGTTATTGGGAACTTGCCCAGCCGCTTAGGGGTGAGGATTTAAACACGATGTGGTGTCCTGACGTGACTTAGGTTCCGCTTAGTAGGCTCCTGTTTGTGGAGCTTTGGGAATCCTCCAGTCCTTGTCTAGTAGTCTAATCCCAGTTAGGCCTTACAGTGTGATTGTAGTGTGAATGTGGGCAGGGGTACAATTTTTTCCATTTGCACACCTATTATTTCCCCTCAGCTCCCTGCCCTACCATGTATGGGCAAAAAAGAAGCCTTTTCTTTTTGACGTTCTTCATTTTCAAAGAATGTGTAAGTCTTGGTTGTCCAGCATTGGTTCTCACTCTGCGTAGGAATAGGAGATTTGGAACATGTTTGGATTGCTGGCAGATACGCCTCATGTTAAGAGACCTGTCCATCTCTGGTTTTTCTTACATTGCTTTCTTTCTTCTCAAGTAGCTGTTTTAGAGCTGTGCCTCTTAGTGTTACTGCAAGTTTGCAAAATTATTTTGTGGTTATTAAAATGAATGCTGTTGTAGAAATTTCATACAACACAGAATATATAATGTAGACAATTACCATCCTCATAGTCACTGTGTATAATATATGTACTTCCTTTTTTTTTTTTTAAGATCATTTATTTATTTATTTGAGAATGGAGTAGAGAAAGAAAGAACTTGAGTTGGGGTAAGGGGCAGAGGGAGAGGGAGAAGCAGACTCCACTGATCAGGGACCCTGATGTGATTGGGGGGGGGCACTCCATCCCAGGACCCTAATCATGGCCTGAGCCAAAGGCAGACGGTCAATCGACTGAGTCACCCAGGCGCCCTCCCCAATATTTTTATACATATTAATATATAAATTTTTTAATCACAAAGTATGAGCTTTTCAGCAGTTTGTTCTTAACAATCTATCTGGGACTCTGTTCTGCCTCATTACATTTACAGTTACCTAGTTTTTAAATAACAAGTAATGGGTGTCCCATAATTTAATCATTTTTACAAAATTGAAGTATAGTTGACACACAATGTTATGTTACTTCCAGATGTACAGTGTAGTGATTCAAGAAGTCTGTGTACCTTACGTTGTGCTCGCACAAGTGTGGCTCCTATCTGTCACCGTAAAACACTGTTCCAGTACCACCGGCTGTATTCCTTAGGCTGTGCCTTTTATTCCCATTACTTATTCATTCTGTAACTGGATATTTGAAGTCTTTCAGTTCTTCTTTCTTGTTTAAACTTAATTGTTTTAAGTTTTTATTTTAATCACCTGGTGCTCATTGTCCCAAGGTGTCCATCACCTATTTCTTGCATCGTGCTCCCCCCAACCCCCACTCTGGTAATCGTTAGTTCTCTATAGTTAAGATTCTGTTTCTTGGTTTTTAAACTAAAAAGCTGTAGGGATGATAAATCTGTAGAAATAGAGTTCCTAGGCCAAGGGGCAAATATATTTCTTCTTTTTTCTTTTTTAAGAATAGATTTAATTTCTAGAGTAGTTTTAGGTTCACAGCCAAATTGAGTAGAAAGTGCAGAGATTCCCCATACACTTTGCCCCACACGTGCAACCCCCCCCCCCACCCCACTGTGGACCTCTCCTCCCAGAACGGTCAGCTTGTTATCCGTGAGCCTACACTGATGCATCATTGTTACCCAAGTGTCCTAGGTTACATTAAGGTTCGTTCTTGTGTTGTGCATTCTGGAGGTTTTGACACTGTGTAAGGACATGTATTCACTATTGTAATTTCGTACTGCGTGGTTTTCCTGCCCTAGAAGTTCTCTGTGGTCTGCCTGTGCATCCCTCCCAGCCCTGTAACTCTTGGCAACTACTGATCGTTTTACTGCCTCCATAGTTTTATCTTTTCCAGAACTGACATTCACCTGGAATGAAGTAGTATGTAGCCTTTTCAGATTGGCTCTTTTGACTTAATAATAATACACATTTGAGCTTCCTCCATGGCTC